GAATACCGCAGTGGGAACCGATATTTTTACGAGATTGCGTAAAACCTGTCGTCATAAAGGAGTCAATCGGTAAACATGACTTGCAGCCGGTGGATTTCTTCTTTTTTTTTTTTTCTCCAGAAGTCTGCCCTGATGTATAAAGCTTGTCACGTGTGCAAGATGTATAAATGGTCACTGTTCAACGAAGTCCAACAAGGAACCGTGATGCAGCCAGTACGCGTGTAGCCTTCGGAAGGGAGGTGGGTTCGAGCCCTTCTCTAATTTTTTTTTTACGTTTGCTTGTGTGTACATACAGGCTTGCACGCACACAAACGCATGTACGAACATAGACAAAATCTAGTTGAACCCACCGCACCCCAACCCACAACTATTCTGGCTACAGCCCTGCAACTTGTAATGATGTCGAATGTGTGGCTTGATGGCAGCAGGTAATGGCAGCAGGGGTCAACTTCCCTAATGGATGTGCGAGAGAGTTAAGGGGAGAGCTAGGTGGGAAAGTAGAAGGGACAGGTGGCACCGAAGGCTGTATTGGTCATAAGGTCTCTTACATAGTAGACAGTCGCGAGCTCGAAGACAAATTGCGTGCACGTGGCATCGATTCAGAGCCCACACGTATACCCTTAAGGAAGTGAGCAGGCTGGTAGTGTTTATCCTCATAGAGTTACGGACGTGTGCACAAGGAAGAGAAAATGATTTCTTTTTCTGATAGTCTAGTGAGCGCGGGGTACGTGTTCGCGCGTGCAGCGGCATAATGTATGAGTTACCGGAAGTTTCTAGTGTGCGGCACCTGCCCGAATACCGACCTGGGAGGGGCGATCGCAGCGTCGAAACAGTTACCACCGAGCACAGGTCGTCGTCGACACAGTGTCGTGTACTTCGATATTGTTATGATTGCGACACAGACTTCGTTGCCCTTAAGGCATAATATTTTGTGCGTATATGTGTTATAAATGTGCGCCCATTGGGAAGTGTTGTCCATGAAATTTCATCGGCGACGGAGTGCGTTTGATTCTTTGTGGAGCTTCATCAGTTAGGCTGAACCGAACTATGTCACACTATACTCTTTTTCTCGTGTACGTACGGCATCAGCTCTCTCTCTCTCTCTCTCTCTCTCTCTCTCTCTCTCTCTCTCTCTCTCTCTCTCTCTCTCTCTCTCACACACACACACACACCACACACACACACACACACACACAAGTGGCGTTCTGTCAAGCGCAGCCATATTAATCACAACACGTAGATTGCTCAAGCACACTAAACTCCCAGTGCACCCATCTCAAAACAAAGGGAAAACCAAAAAGATTTGCTGAGCGATGTCAACATACGTGACGTCCTTCGAGACCTGTACACCAGGCGTCAAGCAATGTCAACTCTTCAACAAAGCAATGTCAACTGTCAGCAATGTCTTCTGTCAACAAAGCAATGTCAACTCTTCGGTTTGCGTGCGTTAACACAGGCGGCTACAAAGACGCCGTCGATACCAGCTGGCAGTGACCCCGTTACAGAGAGGCAGTACAGCGTGACGTTTAACTAGAAGCGTGAAACAGTCGTAAAAAATAAAGGCGCTGTCAGATGACCGCGACAGCTTTCGCACGCCGTGCTGTACGAATTCGACATAGTGTTTTAATGAGGGGACCAGCCTGTGAACGGCAAGTGTTTTGACAATTAGAGGCGACCAATGACCAATTAGCACAAGGAAACACATTTTTTTTTCATAAAGAGGACGCGTGCGACAACCATACTTCACGTACATGCGTGAGCGCTTTTGTATGGTTGCGAGTGTTCAGTACTGAGAATTTTCGGGGAGGGGTCGAACCCTAAACCCATTGTAGATTACAGTACAGCTCTGCAGGTTACCATGCAAATACAAAATGTTTACTCGGCAGAAGCATTCACGCGTCATCTATAGATGCACGATAGCCAACCTCAACAAAGGTGCGCAAGAGATTATCGGTTTAAGCCATGGCGTCGCTCTCCAACGAGCGCGCCGCACGCCGAATAATGCATACGCTGCATTGACAACTGGCAGCTATAAAACGAAAAATAAAGCTTGCAAACGTTTTAACCGATATCAAGTTCAAGCGGGTCCAATATTGGTAAATGCTGCCCGCTGCGCGTACAAGACACACCACGTGGAAAACACCCACACGTCGTTTTTTTTTTTTTCCTCGGAACGCGCGCCTGCTTCAATCAGGACAGCGGCGTGCACAACAAACCCTGGCGGCGGCTGCAGCGCATCAATCACAACATCGCCACCTTTGAAGACAGCCGAGCCCGTCCGTATACCATCGACGAGTGAATTGTTTTCCGCCACGCGACACCACTGGGCCTTTCTCTTTTTTCTTTTAGATAGATAGATAGATAGATAGATAGATAGATAGATAGATGATAGATAGATAGATAGATATGATAGATAGATAGATAGATAGATAGATAGATAGATAGATAGATAGATAGACAGACAGATAGATAGATAGATAGATAGATAGATAGATAGATAGATAGATAGATAGATAGATAGATAGACAGACAGATTAGATAGACACAGACAGACAGACCGGCCTTATTATATAATAATATATATATATAATATATATATATATACTATATATATATATATATATATATATATATATATATATATATATATATATATATTATATATAATATATATATATATATATATATATATATTATATGTCTGCACGTGTGCGAGGCAACGGTATCGCGTGAGTGACAGAAACGCGGAGGGCGCATGCTGCAATCGTGGAAGCACGGCTGCCCTTCAGGTTTCTCATTGCATTCCTCTTTGTTTTCCTCCTGAGCGCCGCTACAACGCCCGACTCGGGAAATAAATATGTATATATATATATATAAACGAAAGCGCGTTGCATTCGGCATCTTGCATAAAGTAGGACGGTCTGTGAATAACCTCTATATTACGGGTAATTCCCGTTACGAATATCTCAGCAGCATAATCAAAGAGTAATTATTGACGTTCTTATCGCGAATCGTGACGTTCTTCGTCATCCAAATAATCTTGTTCTCGTTTTTATTGTTTTCTTTGATGTTTCAGATTTTTGTAATGATCTTTCTGAAATGCACATTCCATACAAGCTCGTACTCTTCCTGCTCAGTCTTCACTGAAATCAAAAGCCTTATGTTACATGTACAAAATGTGCAACGAATGTGAACAGAACTCGCAAAAAAAAATTCACTATCAGAGCTCCTATGAATTTCGAACGGACACTTTGGAAGTCCCCATCCTGGCAACTTCGGCAATATGTTTTATTTTGCCTCTATCTTTTGGGTTCTTCAACGCAGAACTCGGTCGTTGCGGGCAAGGTTTTGTGGTTCGCGGGAAATCCTGCTTTGTGGCGCTGTATAGCAGCGCCACAAAGCAGGACGCAAAAGCGGAGTTTTCGAGAAAGCGCATGACAGGCCATGCGCGAATTGAAACCTCTTCGTCCGCCTGAGTTGGGAAATGCGGAGAAATAAATGGAACGATGCGGAATCGACATGCGAGGTTGCAAACCCGCAACCACCACCAGGATCTCTCAAGCGTGCCCCGTGATTGTGACGCTAGCTCGCAGAACTATATCCGCCTTGTTCGCACGCACAGGAAACTTGCTTAATCTCTGAAACGGGATCAGAAACTCACAGGGTATATGCCTTGCGCATTCACCCGAGACTACTTGAACGCCAGCCGGTGTGGCTGCGTTACTGTGACTGTATAGTATCACACGAAAGCCTCAAAGACGATGTGAACATGCACTGTTGCATGGCCAAAAGTATTTTCGGGGGTGAGAGGGGGAGTTTATACGTTTTGCAGCGAAAGCTGTTATGATCCCAACTCGGGTCACGCGCAGTTGTCCGCCGCCGCCGGTGTCCGTAACCACATCGCGCAAAGTTAGAAAGAAAAATCCTAGCACCAATGACCCAGTGGGCTCGGTCCCGGGCCCGCTGGGTGCCAGACCAGTATTCCACCACTGAGCTACGCCGGTGCTTGTGACTTGTTGGCAAACTTGCCTTGGGCAGGCTTGATGTCGGGAAAGCAATCGCGCTAATACGACTTATAAAGCGTTTTAAAACTACGAAAGACCAACTAGTCGTCGCACAATGCGGATAGCGTAATGAGCGGGTCGTCCAATGCTCCAACCCATTACGAATGTTTGTTCTTGTTCTCCTATTAACTGTGGTGCATATACCCACTTCAACCATAATTTCTCATCATCGTCAGCCGTGCACTGCATGAACCAATATATATTGGCATAAAACTCCTTGCAAGTTTTTAGCGGATACCACACTTCTCAGAAGAATGACGAAAAATAGCATTGCCAATGCCGGCCTACTACACAAAAAAAGTTATTATTAATGCCTTAGTGGGTATTAAGCAAGTGTGCTTGCTGTAGTTACCCAATGAGTGTTTTAAAAGGCTTTGAAAGGCAGCTCTTCTAGGTTTCGCTGACTGTGCTGCGCCTTCCTCGCTGGCCTGGCGTTTTTTTTTTTGTATGTTTATACATGCCTTCGTATGTGTGCGTATATAATATACACATGCAAAATCAAACTATTTATTTTTTTGGAGGGGAGGACGGGGGAGTTTATAAGAGCCCTTTTGATCATAACACTATACTGTTCATAACGCTATGCTCAATTTTTGTGTTATTTCTTGACTATAATGCTAAGTTGTATTTTATGTGCTGCGGGGTCCCTTTGTTTAAAAAGTTGGACTTCATGTGCTTTATGCTATACATTTCTGATATCTAAGGAGTAACCGGTGCCTCAATTGTGTCAAAAATCTGCTCACGTCATGTCGATAAAAAGAAAACGGGAATGCATCACTTCTCATTCGTAACGGTACATTACAAGTAAGCGTTGATTAAGCATAAATTCGGTGTTCTCTCTAATATTGTTCATGACTGTAGGTACTGCCCCCTGAGACCTTAATACTCCAGTAATTGTTCTACATAATTTCTGTTGTTATTCTTACGTGTGCGCAGGCCTCTGCACATCGCCGTTCTCCACGACGACATCGCCCTCGTTCAGCGGCTGTGCCGGCTCACCCGGACAGCGGGCGCCAGCGTCGACGTCTTGAACAGCCTCAGGCAGGTGAGGAGCATTGCCATTGTCAGCGCTTAATAAATATTCCTCGCGTTATTACGTAAACGACAGCAGCCGCCTCTCTGAACAATGCAACTCCCGTCACCTATGCGATACGCAGCATGGCGCTCTGTAGAGCGAATCGCCAAGAATGGGATGCACCGTGAGCGGTGAACACTGCGTGTGATGCAAGCCGAGCGCTTCCGTTTTGGTGCTTGTGCAGTGCCGCCATGGCGCAAGCAGAGAGAGAGAAAGCGAGAATGTAAGCTAGTCATGGGAGGTTAACTTAACTATGTCGGCGCAAGCAGTGGGAACGCGCAAAGTCGACTGACAACAGTGCCTTGAAACTCTGTGTGGCCACAACCACTTGGGCCCGCCAGTAATTGTCGCTGCAATTAGTTTAATATTGTGGAATTGCGTTTATCAATGCATTGCAATGGGCTTTACGAGTTTAGTGCGTGTGCATGCTGTAAGAAAGCTGGTAAAAAAAAAGGAAACGATTCTCCTTGCCCTTATGTATATGATTCGCCATCGATAAAGAGGACAATTCTATCTCAACACCTTGTTTTCTAAGAAGTCATAGAAAGACGCGGCAAGTTTTCGAATTCCGTTCCAAAAACAAAAAGAAAGACATAGAGAAAGAAAGATAGAACGAAAGAAGGAAGGAAGCAAGCAAGGAAGGAAAGAAGATCGAGAGAAGCAAAGACGAAACAAAGCAGGAAGGAAGAAAAGAAATAAAGAAAAAAGAAAGGAGAACAAAGCAGGTAAAAAAAGAAAGAAAGAAGAAAGAAGTGAAATAAAAGAAAGAAAGAAAAGGAGAAGAGGAAGAAAGAAAGAAAGAGAAGAGAAGAAGAAAAGAAAGAAGAAAGGAAGAGAAAGAAAGAAAGAAAGAAAGAAAGAAAGAAAGAAAGAAAGAAAGAAAGAAAGAAAGAAAGAAAGAAAGAAAGGAAGGAAGAACGGGTAATACGTGCAGCGTCAAGGTGATAGGCGATAAAATGGAAATATTAACTGGAAACTCGCAAAGGCTGCGCGAAATAGAGGGCGATAAAATGCTGTGGAAATCGAAAGTATCGCACAACCGTTTTCAGAATTTCGAACACATAGTTCATGAATATACAGGCAAGCGTGCGGCGCATTAAAACGGTCGCGCAAGCACTTGGTGGCCTCATCGGGACCTTGGCGTTGACAGGACAGTCACGCAACCCTCTGGGGGAAAACGCCGCCCTCGCCAGATGCCTGCGCAACGGAGGAAAAAGAAAGCCGGAAAATAATGGGAGCCTCAATGTGAAGTCACTTAGTCCGCCAGCACACGTTCTAGTTTTTTTCTTTCAATTTGAACAAGCAGAGTTAAAGAAGAACCCTTGCAAAATTACGCGAGAGATTGCGATAGCATCTCTGCATGCGACGAGCATAAGAGTGCCGTGCACACAAAGAGACTCTTCAAGTTCCGGAATCAAGGTGCTCTTTACCTCGCTTTATATCTAACAAGGAAATTCCGAAAGCCAAAGCTGACACCTGCAGGTTTGCGGCACGAGAAAGTAGTAAGAATCCCGTATTATCGTGATTGGTCGAAAGGGCCCATGGTCCGACCTATCACTGGTCCTTTCATATGTAAAGTTGAGAACAGGGAATTTGCGCGAAAGGAGTTGCGTTCGCTTGCAGGCTTTGCTCCCGTAAGTTAATGTCACGACCCACGTTAGCTTTGCAGAATTCGTTTTAGCGTTTCAACCGCGATATTTTCCTTTTGTCTATCCCTTCGGATTTGTCACTGAAAGGTATTCAACTTCTGCAGGCGACTGCTTGATGAGCGTCCTTCTAATCGGTTCAAACGTACAATAGCTAAAATACACTGAATCTGTGTCGCAAAGTTATGCGCGTCGAACATTGTTGGCTTTTCCAAAGAAGTTAATTCCGAAAGTTGGGATAGAAGACGCAGAGAGTTACTGAAATTTCGCACTCTTGACTTTCACAACGTGATGATGGTGTTTCGAGTTTAAAGGTATATAACTGACACAGGTCTTGGCGCTTGTAGAAACTGCTCGCTGGCGTTTCGGTCACTGCTTAGAACTCGAAAACGTTAAGTGGACGGTGGGTACTGGTTTGCCAATGGCCCGTCATCTTGCCGGGCCTTAGTCACGCTCAGCGCCAAGCGTCCTTGCCTGCGGAAACACCTGTCACGTCACTTATCATGACCGATATCAAGAGAAAAGAAAAAGATTTTTGAAAAAGGTTTTCATTATACGGTCATCCACAGGATCACGAAATGACACTATTGTTACTATGGCTGCGATAGAGAACGTTGAAGCTAAAACTGAACATCGTACGAATGCGCTATCTTAAGAGCAGCTGTGGTTATTTACCTTTAATTACCACACAGAAAAAGAAGCACGCCCAGGTTTCTAATAACAAAATACAAGCTCATAATTTAATGATTCCTGTTAAAAGTACCCGGTTCTTGGCCAATACCCCCAGCGTGGGTGTATGCCACGAATGCATAGATTCACTCAACAATTACTCCTCTAATCGCCCCTCCACTTCTTTATTTCTTTTATGACACTTCTCAGGCACGTAATTATATTCGCACGGTATGCTTCTCCCGTGAAGGCGTACGGATGATTGATAAGGCGACAAGCATTAATTTTTTTTCCCTTTCGTCAGACTACCTTTACAAGCTCTGCAGTCATTCTCCGTCTCCACTGCACCATGGGACTGACCCTTCAACGAACGCTGCTTTTTCAATGCCGCTTAAATAACATCGTGCCTTCAAGGTTACGGTCAGCGACAGCATTCACTTGGTCGCTCGTAACCGGCAGACCGGAACCGCTTTATGATTAACAGCGACACAGACCCCCATTACAGCGAAGAGTTGCGAGCGAGTGCTGCCGTGGGTCAAGAGAAGTTGGGAAGGGTAAAAACCCAGCGAGGAAGCGGCCAGTGTTTGCCCAGCCGCAGCACAGTCAGCGGGGATGGCAGCTCATCCCTCACTCTCAACCGACTCCGCCCCTTCCCTCGTGAGGCCGAAGCACTCGGAAGAGGAGGTTTTGCCTCCTTATCTTGATCGACAATGTAGCCACGCGTGCGATCGACTGCCTCATACGCAACGGTCGGTTTTCCCAGGCGCACACTCAAAGCGCAGGCATGCGGTTGCTCAGGAGGCGGAACGTGACAAAGAAAAGCGGTGAAGAGAAGCTGGTGCAAAAGAAAGACGTGGTAAGGAGGCGAAGAAGCCGTAGAATGTGCGAAGATGAGCGAATAAATTATTCTTAGAGCAATGACCAGCGCAAAAATCTCTGGCCGCCGCACGGAAGGTGGGTGATTGTGCGGTGCGCTCAGGCGGGTGCTATGCAGAGACAAGATGCGAGTGAGCTCGACAGAGAGAGAACAGAAGAGGTCAACGGTATTTACAATCCGCTCTTTGTTCAAGCCGTTGGCGCTGGTTATTCTAGACTGGTTAACATCCCTACATTTTCTTTCCCCCTTGTTCTTTCCTTCCATCCTTCTGGATGTGCCAACTATGCCTACGACTCGATAGAGAACATGAGGACTTCGGCTAATCCATGAGTAAATAAGGCAAGATGAGTAATGGGGAGTCGTCACGAAGAAAAGGTGGAGAAAATACGGCGAGGACGGGTAGCGAGGACGAGTCCAGATTGCTGTGGCGGTGGACGACTGGGCAGAGCTCCAGGGCACTGCGCCGTGTCGCCATGGCAGACAGAAATAAGGTCCCTTTTCCCTTCCTTCAGGAATCACTACTCCAGCCCACCCAGACAAAGCGCGAGTGACACTGGTAACGCTCCATGAAGTGTGCAAAGGGCAGGCACGCATTTGTGGTATCACAACGCGAAATATGAGTCCACCGGTAAAGCCAAAGTCATTTCCTGTCAATGTGAAGTCGCCATTAAGGTGGGAGGATTGTGGAGGGGGAGTGGAAGACGAGTAAAAAAGTCACTCGCCCTCTAGTCTGCGTTTCTCGCCGCGTGCGCGATCATTGGAGCTCTTTTGTGAAAAAAGAGCAGCCGGTGGAACAGTCCCGGGGTTTTTCCCCCCGCCCGTTCCTGCAGCAACGACGATCGAAATTCCGAGCGGCGGCGCGGTTCATCTCCTTTTTTGTTCGCAGCGCCGGCAAACGCGCACGACCCGCCAAAGAGAGAACGCGTGCTGAAGAGCGCTCGATGCTCGAGCATAACACGCGAAACAAAGAACGGAAAAAAGAAGAAAAACAACGATAGCCTACGGTGCTCCGTAGGCGGGTGAGAGGCGGAGCGTCCTCTGCCGGCGCCGACAATGGGGCTTTCCCGCCACGCCAGCGATTGTTGACCCTCGCAGCAGCAGCTGGAGCAAAATGCTGACAGAGACAGAAGGGACGCGATGGTGGAAGTGAGACCGAGGCCGGCCCACCAACGGCGCCAGGTCACGGTGAACGAACGCGCTTCCGTTGGGTGTGGAGGCAGCACCCAGAGCGAGAGAGATATATGGTATGAAGAAAGGCAGGGAGGTTAACAGCTAGCTACCTACATTCATTGGGTTCAACATTATTGGGTTCAACAGTTCAACACTTTTTCAGCACTGGTTCAACAGTTCAAAGTTGGCGCCCCGAACTAGTGCTCCTTGTTTTCGCCCCTTCAGTGCTGCGGTCCCAATAATTCCTTCTAATCAATGATTTAAACTATGCTTACTACAGGAGTACAAAAGAGCTGCCCTCGCCAAACGAGTTCCTGTAGACATTCAAGCGACCAACTTTTGACGCCACAGTGGAGATGACTTGCACTTGTATACGTGAGGAAGAACGAAGAGGGTGTTATGCCAGGGCGGGATAATAAACGACGACAAAATAGCCGAGTTTAACTTTGGTGTGGGTTGTTCGGCCATTGCAAATAACTCTTCCAACCTTTCTCAAGCCGTGAACGTAAGAATTCGGGTAAGACTATATTGTTAGCGGGCTAAGATGCTGGCACAGCCTTCGATTTAAATTCAGAGCTGTATACCAACTGAACATTACATCGCTTCAATTATCAATAAATGTGCGGCGCTCATGGAACCTTGCTTAGAGGCAGAAGCGCAGCAGGGTACGAAGCAGGCTGACATTCGAAGATAGAACTGTGACAACAATGCGTCTGGTATTACTATACTGTTGCAGATATGGCGACAGAGGCGGAAATTGGAAAAACTTGAATAGATTCAATGAAAACTGCGCACATATATGAGCGATGAATCAGCATAAATTTGCCTAAAACTGAGATATTGTGTGGCAAAATGTCATTATACTGCGTCCCCTCCTGGTCACGTTTGCTCATTCGAAGTCGAAGCAATGCCCGTTATTCAGTAAAGAAAAGCAAGAACAACATAAAATGCTAGTTGCCCCTAAATGAATTCCACATTTTTATCTTGAAATCTCAATTCTGCATAAGGTAAACGTGCGAGCTTATGGTCTAGCTGAGTTCCATCTTTTACAGATGTGTCAACCGCCGCCACGTTGGCCTGCCAATGCTGTCATTTTTTTATATGTGACGAAGACTTAATGATACTAGATTCATAAGCGCGACAAAAATTGTGCGAATGCGCTCGGCGTTTCAGCACTTCATTGATTTGACGCTACGACACAAAAACTGAGAAGCCATACAAAATGCGAGGATGGCAGCGCCAATGAATATGAAAAGAAGACCGCCTTGTAGACCGTTTTTTTGCTACTATTAATTATTATTCTCAAGGTGGCAGCATTCACAGCCCAGGAGGGCGGTGCTATATAAAATGCACCCGTATAAAAGCAGCCCCTATAGGGCGTCGTGCTGAAACGTGCCATTTGTTTCCGGCAGACGCCTTTGCACCTGGCGCTGATTGTGGGCAACGAGCCTGCCGTCGAAGTTCTGCTGAGCGAGGGCGCCTCGGTGCTGCGCAGGGATCGCAACGGCAACACGGCGCTCCACCTGGCGCTCAAGTATCCCAGCCTGGGCTGCATGCGGCTCGTGCTGGCTCACCGGCTAGCAGCCAAGATCGTTGATGCGCCGGACTTCGACGGTGAGCAGATGGCAAACCCCTAGTCTTGTAGCTTTCGCATAATGGCAAGCGCGACACGTGCCTGAACAGAAATAAATGTGCTTGAGCCGACGGCTCCATAGTGACTCTGAGATCAAAGTCAACTTTAGGCACAGCGCTGTTCAAGGGGTAATAACGCACTAAAAGTTTCAGTTGAAGATTTATAGCGTTCAGAAGTCTACAAAATGTATTGGTAAGCGTGAGTGAACCCTGAAGACGCTAAGACACTATATCTTTAGAATGTAGTTTCGATTAATACTTTACTCTCACATCAAGCTCCTCGTCCCATGATCGCCCTAAGTATCATCGTTTGCGCGGCCGGCTCCGCTCCTTGGCTTCGTTGGCGACGCACAAGCGGCCATTATTTAACGTTTTTGGCACCTGACGTAATCACAACTATATATAGCCAAACTTATTGGTGCGTGAAATTACCAGAACTGACACTGTAGCCCGACGTCACGATAGTGTTGGTCTCAGTAGGTGCGGGAGAATCGACTTCAATGTCAAAATAAAATATCTTAGCAACATTCACAAATCTGACGCATGCTCAGAGCCGCCTCTCAGTGTGGCAGAGTAAACTCACCTCCGAAAATTGACGTCAGTAGCCCTTTAGCTACACAGTGCTGTAGTGTCCCGAGAGTGCTCCGCTTATCTGAAAGAAAAATGTTGGAATATCACGCTACTAGCAAATGCTGCTGTACAGCCGGCGTTACAGGTACACTCGTATTCACTAAACGGTGGCGAGACGCGGACATATTAAGGTACATTAAGAAGTCGGGAATGTAGCAGCCGACGCTGCCATGTTACTGGCTTCACGGGCAAACGTAGACGACGAAAGGTTAAACCAAAGATTGTAAAAAAAAATAAATTGCAGATCGGGTGCAACCACCCGGCAATAAACTTTTTCATTAGGAAGCCATCTCTGTCATAGCCCCGTGCGCACATCGTACTGCCCCGCTACATCTGTTCATAAGGTTATTCGGGCAGGAAATTGCATTCTAGGGGGTGGGGGGGGGGGGGCTTTCACTGCAAAGAACCTGCGCGGCTGACCCTGCCAATAAGCGGCAACTTAAATTTGATACCAACTTTCACTAAAGACACACGATATGTTAGGAGAAGTCCGAAAAGCACATGTGTCACATACATGGCGCCTCTATATCGTCCTAAATACGTCGCGTCGCCAGTCGATGAAAACGCAAAATAAGATGCATCCGTTCGCACAAGCACACAGAACAGGTGTAACGAAGACAAATGAAAAAAAAAAAAATACGCATTTCTTGGCACACTTGTGTTGTCTTCATGAACGATGTGTGATAAGCCACAGTTTAAAACTAAGATTGCTTAATGGGCTTCAACGCTCCAAAGGACTCAATGAGAGACGCTGTAGCGGAGGGCTCCAATTAATTTCGATTTGTTGGATCTCTTTATCATGCCCTGGCATCATATAACACATAAGCCTCTAGCGTACAGTACATATTCAAACGCAGCCACCACGACTGCCATCGAAACCACGTATTTAGGGTCAGTCGCACCATAACCCCGCAGTCACTGCGGTGGCTTATTTAAAACTTAGCTACGTGTACTAGTGATGTCCCGCGTATAAAAATTCACGACAGTAAAGGGTTGTCCAGGAGAAAATTGCCCGCGCAGAATATTACTACATCTTTCGGAGATTTGGCGCGTGAGTGAAAGTGCGAAACGGAACAGACGCGCCCTGGGCAGCCGACGGAGCAAGCACGCTTTGCCGCCTTGCCGGTGTAGCATCCCTCGTGGAGCGGCAGGCCAGCCTGGCAAGTTTGGTCAAAGAGGCGGCGTGTGGTAGCTGCACAGCAGAGGCGTAACCAAACTTTTTTAACGCGATAGCGTAAAAGAGGTCGTGTCGCAGAGAACCCGCCGCCAGCGTCGGCCCCATTGGTTGTGAGCGAAAAATCGGCTGTGCATCTGTGACCGAATAATCAAGTTACCAAGATAGCCACGGGAGGCCGCTACTTGTCCACGCGTGCGTGCGCGATCACACTGACAAAGCCGCGCATTTGAAGAAAAAAAAAAGTGCTCAAGGTCACGAGGTGCTGTAGTTTTTTTGCCCTGCCACCCCTCCTTGCTTAGCTTCCAGCGCTTTCGTCGGGACGAGAGAAGAGACAATGCATTTGCAGCATGCGACGAAGCTTTGTAACACCACTCGCACTGGACGGATTCTTAAAATTTTTGCGGCGTTGAATTTGTGAAGCAATGAGCTCTTCTAGTGAATTCATTCTATGACTACTTTAAAATGTGTTTCAGGGCCCATTTAACGCATTTCGTTCGACAGGTGTCACGACGAAAACGTGCACATTCAGCGATAATAGTGAGCGCTGGTCCAATCTACTGTGTGCACGTTTGTGTGCGTGCGTGTGCATGCAACTAAACATATAAATAAGTATTCACTTTTTCGGAAGGGTGAAAGGGTATATACGCAAGCACAATTGAAAATTTTCGGAGAGGGGGTGGGGTTGAAACTCTATCAACTTGGTACGAAGTTCAAAGTTCAAGTTCTATTTCTGCGGCGGTAGCTTAGTGACCACGACGTCACGCTGTTAAGGACGCGGGCTTGATTCCCGAGCGCTGCATGCAGGGCGTTTCTCACAGCTCACTGTAAAACACTAAACCCGCGATTCTATTGCTGAACGAACCCTGACGAACGTTCGCTTAATACACAGGGCACGTACGATAATGCACACATATATTAGCTACAGCTTCAAAGCAAAGTAGAATCCACGGTGCATTTTGACGCGCAAGTGTTAAGAGCTGCAGTTCAACAAACTTTGTTTTGCTGTTCGCAGGTTACTCTCCGCTGCATTTGGCGGTACTCCTCAACAAGCCAGAAGCGGTCAGCCTACTAATCAAGGCCAACTGTGATATAAATGTTCCTGTAAGTACATCAGGATTTGACCCGTTGTCTCCGCATTAAACTATGCGGTCACGTGTAAGCGACACGGCGTGAGAACACGGACACGAGATAAATCAAGATAACACAACCACTTTGGTGTGTGTCTTTGCTTCTCTCTCGTGCTCCACGTGATTGCACACCCTGTCTTTCAACATGGATACCTACCAGCTTGTGCGGCTATACCTCGTTTCCATGCGGCCACCACCTCGCCCCAATAGCGGGTTATGCCTGTTCATCATAAAATGCAGAGTAGTGAGAGATAGAGACAACGGGGTAATCATTACAGCATATCCTCCTTATGACAAAGTTGCAATTAGTGCTGCAGCGGAATCTACCCAATTCTTCGCCAGTCGCGCAGCAGTATTTGGATAGAGCCAGCGTCGAAACACGCAAAGCACGTGCACGTTCGAGAGTGCACAACCATGTTCTTGCGAGGTCACAACGAGCACCTCGTCATGTATACTATACTATAGTTGTAAAACTTAAATGTTACTGCAATACACTTCATTCCATGGTCTTTTAAGCACTACGCGTACCACGCAAAAACAAATTTGTTTTCCTCCATAGGGGTACAAACATATTACGACGTAAGCGATGAATACATGGCGCATACAAAAGTATGAGCTGTCTGCTGATCCCTGTCAAGATAAGGCACGCGCGACCCATCACAGTAGGCAGTAACACCACTCACCCCAAGTGGCTTATCTCCCCTCCCCCTATAGGCCTCTCACATGACGAGCTCCCTCTCCACTTAAGTAGTGATCATTTGCAACCATTGCACATCATACCACGCACAGAGAGATGCTATCGTCCTTTTAATTTACACATAACCTCACAGCGACGGTGCAATGTGCCTGGAATACTCATATAAGAAACTGAAATCCGTGAAGTCGCACTCACTTTTCAGGTGCCGGAGTGCATGCGCGCATATAAATATCAAACTGTGACCTTCATTTTCTATTCTCATAGTGAGGCTATGATTGCACGATAGAATTTTCGAAGAACAATTTGTCAACCAAACTGATTTTTTTTTTTTAACGTCTGACAAGCTTCTTTCTTGCGGGTGCAGGACGGCAGGAGTGGGAGGACGCCGCTGTACCACGCCATCGCCCTGCAGCGCGAGCACCTAGTCAAGCAGCTCGTATCGCACGGCGCTAGCACTGAGGCACAAGACTACGCGGGGCATTCGTGTCTCGCGCTCGCCAAGGAGGCAAAAAGCCCGTGCCTGCCACTGCTCCAGGGTAAAGGGTGCTCGCTGAGCAGCTGACCGCCGCCACAAGACATGGCGCAGAAGGAACGCGTTAGGAACATCACTCGCAGCGGCAGCAGCGCCGGCCCGTAATCCAGCAACAGGCAGACTTTTCGACGCGGGGCTGCCGGCCAACTGCGCAAGTGCCAACGTGAGGCGCTGCCGACAAGAGCCACACCACTGCGACTCTGCGAAGCAACATCACCAGAGACCACGCGCGTTCAAGCGCGAGCGATGCGCAACTGCCAGCCGTGTATCTGTGATTGGCCACTCCTGTGCTCTTTAGCGCCACCTTGCAAAAGCCTTCAACCTCCAGTTTGCTTGCTGCCGTTTACAAACTCTCAACGTCCCTCACATTCACGTCATCCTCTAAACACGCCATCACCTCAAGCTTGGCGTGTTCGTGAACTCTAGAGGGGCTTGACTAAACCAAAGCGAAAACAATTTCAATGCTTTCTATTTACAAGAAAGCGGGCAACGGTAGCAGGTGGACGCTACTTGGTCATGCGGTGTGTAACACTAGTGCCATAGGTTGTACAAACGCAACGGGGGCTCGATGTTGCACGGTATATGTCCTTGGGAAGGTCCAGTGAACAAATAATGAAGGCTTTTCAAGGAGGCTACTTAAAGAGTACCGTGAGAGCTACACACAGTTTCAGTGCTCAGACCAACTCCCTCAGCAAAGAGACACTCCTCACAAAGTAGCTGACACGTGCAGCTACCTCTCGTGAATGGAGACAATGGAGGGACACTGAAGACATAGCAACCCCCTTTTGAGACTGAAATTCCACGAACTGTTGTGGTACCGTGAGTGCAAAGTGTTCGTGATCCTGTTGAATGCAACTGTGCTGGCACTGGCATATTTATTAAAAGTAAAAGAACCTTTGTCAAGTATTCCTAGTGCGTACTGATCACTGTTCCTCTGTCTCAAATATGTCCGAGTTAGCATCCATCAGTATAGGCCGAAAGCTAATAGAAATACAGAAAAGGACCATGAATGGAGACAGCGGGGAAACTGATGGTATATTTGGATGATTGTTCTTGAGCACTCCAGAGGCTCTGAAAAATTTACATAAAATGGCAATGAAGAATTAATGCTACAATATTCAGCCCAATAAACATTAAGGAAGGAGGACATGTCTTACATATCTTCTTATTATCATTGTAGAGCCTTGAAGCTGTTGAATTTACCACCCTCAAACACTGTCAGAGCGCTCTTGACCACCCGAATGTACCATATAGCTTGACGCTGGGCCTACAAGTTCGTACCATGGTGTTTAACCAATGGCTTAAATGAGCTCATTATTTGGTGGCTCTCCATACTTAACAAGATATTTTTGTGCATACATATTCACATGACACTGTACACTCATTGAGAAGATTTTCAAATCCTATACACATAAAAAGGCTAATATCTGTTTGCAGTTGCTCGAATTCAAGAAGCACATGGAGTTGGTTCCTGAAAATGTGCACACAGCACACCTATTTTAAAGCATGCCATTAGAATGAACACCTGTAAGTAAAAAATTATGGCATAGAAACCATTGCGAGGGCGCAACAAAACACAACTTTCTATGTTTTGTGTTTTGTCGCGCCCTCACGATGGCTTCCATGTCAAAGCACCAACTCGCCCAATAGCCAGCTTTTTTTTGAAGTTCACAAATTATGCTTATTGCGCAGCAATCTGCAGTTAAGAAAGCAAAATTATGTGGTTGCATCACCAAACAGTTATGAACCAAGCTTAGGTCATAATGAATGCTTTCACACCTTCTAATTCAGTGTTCTATCTTTCCCATCTGCCCAGGGGAAGGGGAGAACACGCGGCACAAACTGGAAGTGGGGCAAGTCAAACCACTTTAACTATGCAGTAACATTACAATGAGGTACACAATTTTTGTCAATGTGACCAGCATTATTCTAGATCTACAGAACCAAGTGTAGCCACCAACTAGGGATGCTAAGGTGTGTTGTGCACACTACACTTTATCATGCATAAGCATGTAAACCCCAATGTAGTCAAAGTTTGGCAGCCTCGCATATCCGTGCTACTTAAAGATGTTGGCAGTAACAAATTTCTCAAGCTTATTATGCTCAACAGCTGAAAGTCACAATTCATGCATATAATGCAGAAATTTTTAGTTAAGAAAGTAAATTGATGTGGTTGTGTCACCTTACAGTCATCAACCAAGCTTAATCCTTGCAATCCGATCCTATCCAAGTGACTCAACTCTAATAAGCAGAAACAAAACTTACTATAGTCAAGCACAAAACCCACTCAGTGCTCACCATTCAGGGCTCTCACACTTTCTGAACAGAGACGCGGCATTGACGTGGCAGAAGACTTCTGTGCCAGAGTATCTGGGCCACTCGCAGTGCCCAGTAGCCTACTGCCCTCGACTAACTGTCCACAAACACTGGATTCCCGCATAGATATGCCTTTTTCCATCGTGGAGCTCACAGCAGCACTAGCTTTGTGGGGACACACGTCGGCACCAGGGCCCGATACAATTTCTTATAGGGCCTTGTGTCATCTGGGTGAACGCTTGAGAATCCTCCTTTTGGAGTTGTACAACAAATCCTGGCAAGATGGAACGCTCCTGACAAGCTCGAAGACAAGTCGCCTAGTCCCGCTTTTGAAGCCAGGCAAGTCACCGTTGGAGCTCTCATCGTCCGATCGCATTGGCCAGTTGTGTAGTCAAAGTTATGAAAAGGATGATCCTGGGACGCCTGGAGTGGTTCTTGGAATGTAACAACATCTACCTAGATGCCATGGCAGGATTTCGGCGTGGTCACGCATCGATTGACAACGTAGTCGACCTGGTCACTTATGTCCAACACGAGAGAGGCCGTAAGCGTCTCTGCGCATCTTTGTTCCTAGACGTCAAAGGGGCATATGACAACGTTACGCATGAAGCTGTTCTCACCGCTCTCGAAGATATAGGAGTGGGTGGTCGGATGTATCGCTAGGTACGTAGTTATTTGTCAATGCGATCCTTCTTTGTGAGCACTGAAGACGGTCCAACCTCTCCACATTACAGCCACCGTGGCGTCCCCCAGGGTGGCGTACTCAGCCCTGTGCTGTTCAATCTGACGTTAATTGCTCTCACTGAGCATCTGCCAAGCACGGTCAGGCTATCAATGTACACATATGATATCTGCGTTTGGGCATCGGCTGTAACACGCCTGCCGTTACGAGAGAGAATTCAAAAAGCTGCCACTGAAACATTACGCTACCTCCGAACTCGAGGCTTGGAAATTTCTTCCAAGAAATGCGCCCTCGTAGCTTTTACTAGAAAGCCTGTGGATAAGTAAACTATAAGAATCAATGGTCAAACTGTACCATACGTTCGATCGCACATGTTTTTGGGCGTCACAATTGACGGGAATCTATCATGGAGCAATCACGTTTCTTACATGAAGAAAGGGTTAATGGACATCTGTAATATACTGAAGTTCTTTGCAGGAAAGACTTGGGGAATGTCTCCCAGTGCAATGCTACAGCTGTGCAGAGTACTTTTTCTCGGTTTCCTGCGGTACAGTTTACCGGCATTGAATTATGCAAGCAAAACAAGCCTTCGAACGCTACAGAGTGTTCAGTCCCAGGCACTCCGGATTTGCCTCGGCTTGCCTCGTAGTGCGTCGACAATGGCCACTATATCTATCGCCGTTGACCACCTCATTACGACACATCGACGTTGAGGCACTCAGGACACATATAAGGCATATTGCTCGGACACCCTGCCACCACCTAGCCTTTTTACCAGCAGACAGACCACGTTCGTCATTTTGCCAAACGGTCACCAAATTTCGCGATTCTTTGCCAACATGCTTCCCACCCGCCGCCAGGCCTTCGACTCCACCCTGGTGCCTGACTCAGGCTAATATCAGGATAACTATACCTGGCATAAAGAGAAAAGCAGATATGTCGTCACCTGCTCTTAGACAGCATGCTCTGCTCTTGTTATACGAGACGTATCAAGGCTGTGTACACGTATACACCGACGGCTCTGTTTTACAGAAGAGTTCAGCGGCATCATCTGTTATACCAATCCAAGACACGACGAGAAAATTCAAGACCTCCCACCTAACGAAATCAACGGGAGCAGAGCTCACAGCTCTTCGGGCCACATTGCAATTCATCACTGATCAACAGCCACAAAAATGGACAATTTTCAGTGACTCAAAGGCAGCACTGCAATCCCTTCTATAACCTTTACGCCACGGCCCATACAAACAGCTGGTATTTGAGATTGCAGAAAAGACTTACCAATTCATTGAGAAAGGACATGAAATAGCCTTTCAATGGCTTCCAAGTCATTGTGGAATAATTGGCAATGAACGGGCCGATCGAGCTGCCCGTTCTGCCAATACTGAAAGCGATGAAATATCAAATCCGCTTTCCAGTACTGACGCTGCACGAAAACTCCGCATGCTTGCTCGCAAGCGCACCACGTCACAATGGAACGAGTCACATTCCATCCATGCACGGTTAGGTGCTCTAGACCCAACTCTCAGTCTTCGAATTCCTCCGAAATTACGCCGACGAGACGCTACTATGCTGTGCAGATTATGACTGGGCATCGCATTTACCAATGCGTACGCGTTCCGCACAGGAATGGCTGACACTGCTGCATGCGACCATTGTGGCAGTGGTGAAACAACTTGGCACATTCTTTGTGAAGGCTAACAATACTGCTCGCAGAGACAGTCACTCTGCAATGCACTAGATGAACTGGACAACCAGTTTCTTTCGGAAGAAAGAATCCTGCGCTGCCGACAGGACTTTATGTCGCATAAGAAGGCTGTAAAGGCGCTCTTGCGCTTCTTGCGTTCAACCGGCCTGTCCAAACAACTGTGATCGGAACTCCTTGAATGTGTGCGCATGTGTTTTTTTTCTAGTTTATTTTATATCTCTCTATATCTATCCTCTTTCCGACCCTTTTCCCCACCACCATACAGGGTAGCAAACCAGTTCATATAGGTTAACCTCCCTGTCTCATACTTTTATTTTTCTCTCTCTCTACTATAGTCAATTTGTAAATATTGTCAGCACAGTAATTAATACTCAGCACTCTCTCATGGCAAGAACATGAAAAGTATAAAACACAAAAACAGCAAATCTAACCGGAAACCAGTAGATAACTGGACTCCCAAATGAAATTTTTTTCCAGTACCTTTCATTACTGCATTGCTATCTGTCATACTTTTCTGGTTATTATTCTCTGACATGTCAATACTGTTAACTTCCCATAGAGTCACACTCATTCGCTTCCTAATTTTAAAATTTCTTTTCCAGCCCTTACTCCCAGAAAGTGCGGCACCACATCACAAATAAGGCCCTATGACCTAAAATTGTGGCAGTGCGCCAGAAGTAGTGCACCGTTTCATTAGAGATTCCAAATGTTTGCACCATTTGCCTCAAGGTGTAGAAGCATGACCAACATCGGTAATCTAAATGTGGCTCACAAATTTAAAAGCCGCATTATTGGCACAACGTGCTAACCCCGAGAAAAGTAAAAGAAATAGCACAGGAAATTTTTGGAAATCTTCTAAAACTTATTTATGGAGTTAGAAGTCAAACAGCTAGGCAAAGATAACCGGAGTGTTGAAATGAACCAGACCTAAAAACTATACCCAAACCAATGTTTGAGATAGAACTGAGCACAAGCTTGAAGCAATGCTCTCGAAAAGTGCTTGAACCTCAACTTAACAAAAAAATATTAAGAATGGCTTGGAACAAAGTGGTTTAAAGTAATACTAGCGACAACTAGTGTAGCTGTCTATGCCAGTCTACATGAAGCAACCGATTCATATATGCCCTTCTAATAGATTCACGTGTACTGATGTTGTGCCGGTGATGAGTACAGATCAAAAGCTTAGTAGCCAGGCTACCACAGTGGACGATATATTAAGGCGAAAGCCTTTAATGTCTCATGCTCGCGGTGACCAGCTGCGTTTATCCATGCCCTGGATGCTAGCATACCCTACCTCAAAGAGAGTCAGCACTTGCACTAGCTTCTTTTTAGCTTTTGTCAGAACACATAGCTCGGTATGATAACAGCTGCAGCATGTAGCGCCACCCCTGAAAAGCTTTCAGACATGCTTAATAATCTTTAGGCTAACGCCACCAAATGCAAAGAATGAAGCACATATTTCTTAAAGATAGTGATTAAAAAGCAGAAGCTACAACAGAAGGCGCTTCAATAGATCGCAGCTCATGATGAATATTGGGGCTGCATGTTTCAGCTTTACTGGTTAATCATCTGGACAAAATGCTTGAGCAGTGCAGGTATTAGGCTCTCTCTCTCCCTTACTCTCTCTCAGCCATCGCATGATGGCACAGCAGCGTGCACGGCAACACTCCTTCATCAAGTGTCTCATTGCAGCAGTTGAGTTAGTTGGATGGCTCCCACGCTCATGCATCTTCCGTGTAGCCTGGCCACAATTTGCCCACTCATGCAAGAAGGGATACACATGCACTGCGTTCCTTTCTGACTGAACAGACACAATGTGCACAATTTTTGCCGTACACACTTCGGAATTTACAAAGTGTCTCAATTTTTTAGAAAAGAAAAAGAATTCTAATAAAGAATGAGAAAATATGTTATGGTAAGCCTACTAGTTGATTTTGACTTCAGCAGTGCTGCCTGGAGTTTTTCAGCCTACTGTGTAAGAGGGTCATGTGTTGAAGATATGTTACTATGCTAAACCAGCCTCCCCCCCAAACACATTTATAACAGGTTTATATAAAAAAAATGTCCCTATTAGGTAGTGGTGAGTTTCGAACAAATTATTTCACACTCAGAAGCAGAGTCTCTTACCCTCTCGGTCAAACATAGATGCTAGCGAAATGTGAATACATTTGCACCACATGAATGAATTGTACCAGCCATATAAAACCAACATAAGAGAGCACTTCTTAAAAAGGCTACATGAGATATGAGACGGTAGAATAAAAGTCCTCTCCGGCACAACACACAAAGTCGCAATGAAGCATTGTGCACACTCGGAAAATTCCAACATGGAAAACATTTAATGCTAAACACAGCACGTATTTGATACATTTAGCTGGTCATGACTTCGTGGGGTCATTCTATAAATCGATGAACACAAGAAAAAAGATGAAGAACACTGCGCCACCGCTGTACAATGATGACATTCCACAGGAAGTCGCAACCAAGGTGCAAGATGAGCATACTTTGGCTGAAGACACCTGGGAGCCACGATCGACCTGATCCAATCGCAGCAGTGCCTATCTGTCGAAGATGCTGTGAAACTTGAAGACTGAAATTATTTTATCTCGTGTTGCTGTGACAACTGGCCTTCTGCAGGTTGTCCGACTTGCTGTCAGGCACGTGTTATAAATGTTCTTTAATCTGTCCCTCACTGACCTACTTTTCCCGCATAGCTCAATCCTATTGGATTTCGCACGAAGCATTGCTTGCCACAGCAACTCGAAAATAAAAAACTTTCCAATCTTGAAGTCTTCTCATATTGTCGATATGGCCATCACTGGATCAATGAGCCCGCACCGATGCTACTTCATACAACGAGATCCCGATGAAGAACAAGCATGGGAAGTACAAGTGCATGCTACTTTACACAATCAGAAACAAAAGGTGCACTCTTCACCTCAACAAAGCATTATACAACAACGAAATAGCTGGTGATTAGCCATAGGAAATACTTATGAATCCCATGGACAATTCCTATAACAGCTTGTGTGTGGTTTTTATTTCACTGAGTGAATTTGCAATAACGTTTTAGCTTTCAAAGCATTAACTCTTTCGTTACCATGCCTATCCAAATCGATCACGAGTGATCGACACTTTTGGATCATCGATATTGGCATAACGAATTTGTTTCTCGTGCACCCAGCTCTATCTAGTAGTTAGTCAAGGCACCGAACTTTCAGAATCAATTCGAATTTGCCTGCTTTGGCAACATGGTAATTTTTGACAGACCTTTGCGCGAACCAATGTGCGTGTATTGTTAGAAAAGTGCACTAGGCTGGCGATAATCACAAGAATGTGTGCACCTCGTGATTATGGTACAGTATTATCGAAGTTCTGTAATGAAAAGAACGTTGCAAGCCAAATATCGAATTGAACTGTCAGCTTCACAATTTTACTAGGTTAAGCAGTAATGACAGCCTGAAATTTATGCCTATGTTCAATAGAAAGCTGTTCCTAGGAGTCAGAAATAATTTGTTCAACAAAAAATATTTGCCAAGGTACACCGTGTGTTTATAGTGTTGAGGTAGCCTTCTATGACAGTTTCCAGCAGCTTTGGTTTTACTTGCATCGTTATATCAAACACAGGGTCGCATCTAGTGTATCTAGTCCCCCCTATGATGTTGTCGTCAAGTGCGCATGGGCGCGCATCAGTGCTGAAAAACACATGCGCTGCTCGAAACTGTCTTGCAACCTCACCTGAATTGAGTGACGACGAGCTTAGCGTTCGAGGATGAGAGCATCTCAGCTTCAAGTTTTATGGCGACGATGTTTTGCGTCAGCCTGATACATCCACAGCCCTTCATGGGTTTGTTTTGCTAACATCCTCGAGTAGTTTCCTCCGGCAAGTGCGTATAGTTTCTGACCTTTGCGCACAATCTTATTGCCACTCTGGTTATGTGCGTGGTCTACAGTTCACTGGGGCGCAGTGTGCTGGCGCTGGCTACAGAGCTTCTCCTAACAACTAGAAGGCCCCCGGAGCACATCTTGGCCCTGACTACGCAGCAGTGCGAGATGTTTTATAACTGCAGCATTATTGTCCTTTTTTTAATATGATATGCACGAAAATCCCAAAAAGTATGCCTGGATGCATATATTGAAATGCCGACCTATGCGGTGTAAAGTGGCTCATGGAAAGAGGTGATCACTAGCTGAAATACAGAATTTTATGGGCATCTCATTTATAGAGAGATTATTCACATCACGGGCATCCATCTATTTCTATTGTAACACCAAGAGACTCTTATCGCTACACAACAAAAATTTACTGAAAAAAAGTGTACAAGTACACTTTTGCCTCGCAAAAAAAAAAAAAAAAAACATGCAATGCTTCACAGCATGGCATGAGCAACAAAGCAGCATCTTGGTTCCATTTTCTTTGTCTATGTGAAGAGAAACATTTTTGTACAAAATTCATTTTTTCTATACTATTCCTGGGTCACTATCTACAAAATGTATATTCTGAATTTTCTTCCTTCTCAATATTTTTGTCTATATAGTGCTTTTTATTGCACTGTTTACCAGCTTGTGACCGAAAATTCTACACTTTTCAGTTTTTTATTCATTCTAAGATATTTTTGTTGCTCTAAAACATACATTGTTTGGAAAGAGCATTTCATTGTGCAAAGTTTGGAATGCTGCAATGCATGCTGGAGTACTTTTCTAACTAGCAAAAACTATCTTTTCGACACATATGAAAAACAACCATTTTCACGCAGTAACGAAAAAGTTAAAATGAAGCTTGACATGAAGCCCCCCTATTGAACGCTACTTTTAACCAGACTGTAAATAAGGCATAACTGACACCGAAAACCACAGCTGAAGTAATAAAATTTATGCCACTGAAGCTTTGCGCGAGGCCAGTGCAATGCCACCAAGCTTTCCAGGAATCAACTAAGCACAAAGCAAATGGTGTACGAAGGCAGTAGTAAAAATGGTATCCCAGTAGATAAGCCTAATTGGACACTAAAAGTACTGTAATACACTTAAACTTCTTACTAATGTACTATCGTGTTGCTAGTAAAATGATAGTATAAGTGATAAGATTAGGTATTTTCTAATATCCCAAGAAATGCATGCAGAGATAAACCACAAAATGGGCACACAGGTTTATTTACACGTTATTTGCATGTTCAAAGAAGCATACAGAGATTCTAAACCCAACAATAGTAGTGCAAATTTATTCACATGGAGTCTAAGAAAAAAAAAACAGGTGCCACATTAAGATCCCTCCTTCCATCAATACCGTTGGCTGTGAACCAGTTCCAGTAATGACTTCATGTGTGTGCATGCTTGTGTTTGTCTCAGGCTGCCTTTCGTACCAAAAAACGAATACAGCAAGCACGCAATGAGGTACGCCCAGGTGGCATAAAGCAGGGGTTCACATTTCTGCAGCTGTGGTAAAGCGTTTCTCAGTCAAATTGACAAACGATGCACTTGTTCAATTTCTGAATTAAAACATTCCAACATATTTGACAGCGCACCCTACAGATGCTGCAGAGCAAGAGGATTGAGCAGCTCAGATTTATTCAGGAAGAGACTGAACAATTTTGAAGGTGTAGAAAATATTGCAAGTAATAACAAAGAACTAAACAGGTTATTGAGTGACAGTTCAATGCTTTAAGCCAGTAAAACAAACTTCCACAATGTGTTGCGTGTCGGCAACGAGAAAGGCAACACCACAGCTGCACCAAGGAAGAGTTGAACCCCGTACTTTAACCTCATCCGCCTTGGCTCACACACCTCCTCTCTGGCCTGTACGAGGAGCCTCCGGAGGAACCCGTGAGTGGATTGTAATCTGAGTTGCGAAGGCGATCGCTGCTGCCTTCACTTCTCTTGGGTCTCCTCGAGAGACCGCTGGCCTCCGAAGAGCTGTCATTAGATGAGGTGGCTCGCAGCTTTGAGCCTAATCCAAGTCCCTGCTGTAACTGTTCCCAGTTTTTAATCTTCTCTTGCCGTTTCTGCTCTTCCAGCTGCACCACAAAAATGTAGTAGAATGTGCATAATGCCAAAGTTTCAAGACGTACTAGTTTTACTAATAACAACAACAACAACAACAAAAGGCAATCTGCTATTGAAAGCAGCCTACTACTACAGAAAGATGTCAAGTTCACATTGATGGCAGCACTCAGCAACAGCTCCTTCAGACGTGTGTTCATAAAAACATGATTCATGCAGATGCATTAGTGGCAACAGCATGCATTTCACAGAGCTACTGCATAAAGACACTGCTGCTGCAATGGTACAGGGGTTACAGTGCTCAGCTGCTGAACTAAAGGACAAGTTCAATCCTGGCCATGGAGGTTGCATTGCACTGGAGGCAAAATGCTAGCGACCCATGTACCGAAATTCAGGTAAACATTAAATAACCTTAAGGGTAAAAAACAGGTGTTGAGATTTGCACTTGGCCTCTTTTTAACGACATGTCAAACAGTGTCCCCTTGCCTCGTTACTCGTGCAGCATTTTTCTTGTGTCCTAATGACTATTATCCCACAAGGGAATCACTTTGTTGGCACACTTAACTTCTTAAAAATAACGGAATACTTTACGGCCATCTGCAGTGATGCAACATATAACTGTATATCGCTGCCTATCGGCCCGACTGTGAGAACAGAAATGCTTTTCTTTCCTTTAGCCTCTAATGGCATGTTCTACGGTGCATCAGGCCAAACCAGGGTTTGATTGGCATTTCCAATCTGAGAGAGCAAGTACTGATGTTCTCTGCACTACTTGATGATAAATTTTTGAAATGAGATCAGCTTTGTCCTACACACCTCTGGACGACAGTACATTGTCGTGCAATGACGAGGAGAAAGGTTCTTTCATTTTTTGAAGTGCTGGATCCATCCATTGCATGTTTTAACTTTTGTAACAGGAATGCTTTTGTCTCATGCAATGCAGAGTGCTTTCATATGCAGCCTTTTGATCAAAGTAACATATCCTTCGCCTGTGTATGTTATGGACTGCAGAAATGAATCTTGTATCTCGCATAACAAGTGACTGGAGAGTTGTACACCAGAAAAAACTAGGATCACTAACAGCACTCCTTATAGGTGGGGGCAGTGGCTCTGGTTATTTTTGGCTATTTCTGCGGTGTGCTTTCGCTTGCAGGAATGAATAGCGATGCCCCACAATCTAGCAACAGAAGCTTTTCAAATGTAGCTGAGAAAGCTCAGAGACTGTGCTTTTCTACCTGGCGGCACTAGAAACATGACGGGGGGTGGGGTGAATTTTTTAGGAAAAGGCAAAACGGGGTGTAGGAATGCACAATACCCGTCTTTCATGAGAGGACACCTCTGAACCGATAAACTCCTGAGGAAACGGGGATTGATGGGACAATGAGAGTGAAGAAAAGAAAGTAAGGTAAAAAGAAAGGAGTGGGGGGCGATAAATCAAGGCAGCGGAAAAAAAAACAACTAGCGTGATAGGAGGAGGACACCATTATGGGATGGCATGCCTACCTTTTCTTGCCCCCAGAAAAAAAGAAGGGGTGTGGTCGAAAAGAGGGTATCAAGTTCTCACACCACCCTATCATAACATAGCTAAGGTTCACAAAAATCAAAGCTGTGGTGATTGCACAGGTAATTTTTAAATACATTTATTTAGCGAGAGCTTTTACCAAAGTTCAGAGGAGCGGTATTTCTACAGGTGTGGCCACCGCACGAGCATATACGGCATAACCTAGTGAAATCTTTATGGATGAGCCTGTGCTTTTTTGCATGCTTATCCACAAGTGTAAGTGTCTCGGATATAAGGGTGAGAAGTGCCAGGAGGAAAGCACAGCAACGGTCGCGTTGCTGTTCTTGTGGGAGCATACATGAATGGTTTCTAAAAATTAGAAACTTCTTGTTATCAGGAAGGCGTTGAAATTCAAGCTTTTAAAGAGATGGACAACTGCTCAGTATCCTACAAATTGAAAGACTGTTTATTGTATTGGCTGATTGGACCCCACGTTTCCATTTAAATGCAGATATATGTTTTGGTTTCTTCACTGAAAATTACAAAAAAAAATTTTGGCACCCCCAAGGAAAAAAAATTGAAATGCATATGATACCCATCCCAGCAAATTTTTAATAGGTGCCTGTGGCAAACTGTATCTATATTACACATTTTAAAATAAATTAAACTTTTTGCAATATTTTGAAAATGGGCAGATATGCCTTCGTTCGTACTGAGCAGAACAGTGGCACCATTTTCGCCTGCCTTGTGATCCTATGCTCATAAGCAGCAGCATGAAAGTTGTTAGGCAAGAAAAAAGTTGTTAGACAAGAGGACACCTCCTGACGAATGCGAGAAGCATGAGAAGTGCCCAGCTCATGAAGTGATAAAATAACTTTATTAGACGAATGTTCACAAAACTTCCAACAGCTTTTCATGTTGAAAAATGGTTGAATATGTAAAAATTAAAGTGTTTAACCACAGTTGCACTCACTCCTGTGAACAGTTTGCATAGAAACCATCGTGAGTAGCGCAACTAACAGGACACATAGGAAGAAACACACGAGCCCGTTCGTTTTTTCCATGTGTCATGTTCACTTGCCCTACTTACAATGGTTTCTATGTTAGAACACTAACTGGCCCAACAGTCAACTCTTTTAAAAATTTTTTTAACAGTTTGCAAAGAAGGCTGTCGTCATACTCAGCGTTGCCAGAGGACGGACTCAAACTTGGCTTCTCATATTGAGAAAATTCGGACGGAAGACAATATATCCACAGGCTTTTGGAATCACCAACTGAAGACTTACTAGCAGTGATGGAAAGTTTTTTGTGAGTCAAGGAAAAGAGGGTCGAAAAAAATGGGTCTCAGTCTTTTTAGGGTTGTCAAAGGACTGTTTGAACGAAGCAAATGCCAAAGCTTAAATGACGCACACCATTTTATAGCCTGTTTGAGGCAGAGAGATGCTAAGTTCACTAGAAAAGGCAGGATGGCTGTGCTTACTGCGTACGATTGCCCAGGCAGCTTTCACGTGATGAATTGCGAGGAATGAAATATCTTCCAGCAATTGCAATGGCTATACTTCAACCAATAGGTTAGTGTGCCATTCAAAATTTCAAGGGGTCATAAAGAACCCTTCAGGCATGGAGAGAAAACAAACCCTGCAATAGTGAACACTACTGTGTACAACTCGGAGAGCTCAGAAGCGCAGTGCGAATTTCGCCATCAAACAAAGGATGGAATCGCAACAAGAGAGAGCAATTACACTTCATAACTAACTTCTTTCCCATAGGCCATTTCTCCCCTTCTAGCATATAACGGGCTCCTCGGGACAAGAGAAGCGATAAATCAAACCTTTGACACAGACACATTGGAACGTACTCGTGTTTGTCCCCCCCTCAGTTTCTCTCGCAGTGTTACTGATGTGCGGTTGTGTCATCCATTGTGCATTCAAAAATTTCTGCCGGGGCGCTAAAAGTAGGATATTTTGTGCGATTCTACTGGTTGCACCATTTCACGAGTGTATATAAAGATATATTTCCGCTCCTCGCTCTGCTGGTACTTGTAAGGAAGAGTATGAAGCGACCGCGCAGCAAATGTACAATTATGTGCGTGAGACTTGTTCTACCACCTGCCACAAGTCCGCAGTCCCCCTCCTCTCCTTTTGTGTGAGTTCTGTTGGAGTGTCTGCTGCAGCGTGTGAAGTTCAGGAGCACTCGCCATTGCTTGTCTGAGATACCAAAACGTTACTTGATCACTGCTCTCACTTGCTCGCCGCGGCCTGTAATGAGATGCTGGAGTCAGCGGACCGTTGTGCACAAGATGCATCGAGGGATGTACACGGGATCATTCGTAGCGAGCGAGCCCAAGCTCTCGCACGATAGACTGCTTCCAGCTAGCGACAGCAGCGCATCGCTTCGAAGTCTTCTCGCTGGCCCAATAAATGCTATACAGTCATGCTGATTGTGACCCGCAAATATCACAGGCCTTGCTTACTGTTGCAGTATCCCCTTCCCATTTGTATCCGTCACCATGAACTCGCAACACGCCAGTTCTCTGTGTTTTAAGATTCCCCCTGACATAAAACGAAATCCTCGGGCCTTGGCCTACCCGGTCAGCATCATGAGCAGCTTTGAAGGTGTTGTTGCTGTTCCTGCAAGCAACCAGACTTGGAGACAAATTGTGAGTGTTTGTGGACAGCACTGCTTCCTATAGTGCTCGGGTAGTGCTCCAGTCACTACATCTTTTTCCCTATTGTCACCAACTCTTCTTCTCTTTCACTATTTTTCCCTTCCCAAGCACAGGGCAGCAAACCGAAGTCTTATCTTTTAAGATTCCTCAATATGTCCCAAAACCAAGCCGACACTGGTGGTGCATCACGGCCATAACTAACAGTGAAAGGGTTAAAGCATGCAACCAATCTCCTTAACTCCATAAAGTTTCCTAAAAATATACACTAGAGGGAACTCTGGTACTAGTGTCTATAGGATCTGCAATGCACGGTGCTTCAGCGAGCATGGGAATGATGGGTAGTACATGGATTTGTCTGGTCTTCATACCTCTGGCTCCATGTGTTTTCCTGTGGCTTAGGGCTGATCTCTCACGAAACAAAAATCAGCAAATGTTTAGCAGTTAAGTTTCACCACATTATTCTTTAGGGCTTACCATTTCAAATCGGGTCACGAAACTCAAAAGAGTTCATTCTTTCTTTAGGAACAAAAACGAAACACAGCAACAAACGAAGCCACAAGTGCGATCGCCGCCAACAAGTACAAAGACTAGGGCAAATCCGTGTACTACCCATCATTCACATGGTCGCTGAAGGAACACAGCGCCAGAGTACCCTCTAGTTAATTATAGAAAACTCTATGGTTCACTGCACTTCTGCTAGATAGATTTAAAAAATTTGGGGGGCAACAGTTTTGTAAGGTAATAAACTCCATTACTGAGGTCATTTTATGATTATTCGTGGGAAAAGTCATTAAGGACTACTTCAGAGGTGCTATTCCATCGCCACGTCACTAGAAGGATGATGC